GCAAAAAAAGAGGAAGATAGGCATGGATGTTAGCTCAGGGATGATCTTCCTCACACACAAAAAAAAAAATAAAGAGAAGGAGCTAAATCTGTGGTTTTGAGGGAAAAATTTTAAAGCTCATGGTAAGACAAAAGCATTTCATCAGAAAATATTATATTGGCAAAGGTATGTTTCAGTGAAAAATATTTCAATTTTCTGAACCCCTTCTCAATATCGCAAGGTATACGTGAGTGAGAGGAAACAGTTACATGAATCAAGAGTTGAGAGCACTGGTAAAGCTTCTCTGGTACATTTTCCAGAGACCGAGACACCTGTTATTCCAATGGAAGGTAACAAGACACTTTGCAAGTTAGGGTTTTCCAAATTTTTGTTTTCAATTACACTGAAGGAAGTCCTAATTGAGTTGTCAGCTCATAGATCGTAAAAAATTATTTTTGATAATATAGTCATGCATCACTTAACAATGGGGATAAGTTTAGAGAAACATGTCGATACACGATTTCGTCACTGTATGAACATCATAGAGTGTACTTACACAAACCTAGATGGTGTAGCCTACTGTGTCTAGGCTATATGCACTAATCCTATAGGTCACCACTGTATGTGCAGTCCACCGTGGACCAAAACGTCGTTATGTGGTGCATGACTGTATATTATTATCTGATTTTTGGCATATAGTTGGGAAAGGATCAAGGAACTGAATGATATTGCTAGATATTAAAAAACACAAAATTCCTACTCCCATCTGTCTGTTAATAGGAGCAAGGTCTCTCAATCTTTGAATCTATTAAAAAATAGCAACATAACTGTTACTGAAAATCCTGTCTCATTCTAGCAATGGAACATTTATTCTCAGATATCTACACCCAATTGAAAAAAATCCATTTTACGAATAACATTTTACCTTTTATGTTAATATTTTCATAAATTTTGTAATGTTTGTTATTTTGATCACTCATATACTAATATACGTAAGAATAACTTGATGGAAAGAAACTTTTAGAACTAAAGTCTTATGGTCACAGGATATAAATTTTAATTTTTATAAGTATTTTTTGTGATAGCAAAGTACAATAGAGTAATCCATAAAAGACCTTCACAGATTTAAAAAATAAGTTAGGATAACATTCTATAGGAAATATGGAATAAAAATATGAGTTAAAGGAGCAAATGGAACTATAAACCTTTCAACTCTTAACAGCTTACTCGTGTATTTATTTAACAGAATGATGGTGGCATTCAAATCTCTATGATATTTGGTTCCACTGAATACCTTTAAAAGAGTGATAGAACATTTTCACATTAAAAGGTCAGTATTTATAATATATCAGGCCTTTTTCATCTCTTATAATAATCCAACACTAATATATACTATGACCCCAAGATATTTAGCAAACACAGGGCCTGCACTTGATGGCCCCAGCCGCAAATGCCTACTTAAATTTTGCACCAACGTGACCTGTTTTTCTCACTCTGGTGCTGGCCCTGGTTTTCAAAGTCATTAAGTAGGAACAGCTATGACCTAACCTCTGGGTGAGTCCTGCTGAAAAACCCAAAAGGATGGGAGAGAAGAGGAGGGAGAAAACAGGGAAAACTTAGGACAATGGGATTATAGGATTAGATTCCTTCAACAAAAGGACAATGGGGGTAAGGAAATAAGGAACAAAGGTTTCAAACTATTAACCAATATCAGTATTAATTCTGAGCTGGGAATTTGTTTGGTAAAAGCTTTAAACACAAAGAGATTTAGGATTGAATTTCAATTATGTAAAGTATTCATTTCATGTAGTACAATCCAACATTTTGGTAACATAATCCTGTCCAAAACAGATTAGGAGAAAAAAAGGACGAGTGTCATTAGTTTTGGAAATCTAAGTCTCTATATTCTTTTCAGAAAAAAGCAAAGCAAAATGTGTATGTATGTGGAAGTGGAGAATGGGGGAAAAGTGAGCCTGGCGGCAGAGTGAGCCTGGCTGGAGAAGGTGCTGCAGGGCACTGTGGTCCAGACTGACAAATGCCTGAAGAATATACTCTGACTTGCCTTCCTTAATAAGACAAAATTACACCTAGGCCATACCTGGCAGATAAGCACCTATCATGAGTTCTTAAAATCCATGTATTTTGAATAATGATACTATACCATAAAACTATATCATCGTATCATAAATGAGGGGCATTAATTATAGAAAAAGTTGGGACTGAACCCTGGATGCATGTAGAATTGTGAGGTTGCCACCTGCAGAATGCTCACACTCTCCACTCTGATCTGGGGTGGTCCTCAAGTCGACAGCAACATCATGAAAAGCTATGGTTCATTATCAAATTTCCTCTACTACTTTTAAGATATATTATTATGAAATTAAGAAACTGGGGATATGAAGCTAAGGGAAGAGCCAGCTGAAGGGTTGGTACATGGCTTTTGTAACTGAGATTTACCCACATAAAAAGGATCTGAAATGTTTGGATTGTTAACTGTAATAGAATCATGAAAGTGTAATGGAGGATTTTAAAAAATGATTTCACTTTGATTTAAGTGTAATAAAACCTGTGGATACTAATATTTTCTAAGTTTCGACCTATTTTCTTTTGGGGGGAGGAAGAAGGCAGATATTAGAAGGGTCGACAGTGGTCGACACCAAAGATTACCTTTAAAAATTTACTCTAGTGATGATATTTGTATTTCTCTCTTAAGATACACCATACTTTAAAAACCTCTATTGTTGTCCAACATTTAGAGCTTTTGACTGAGTGTTTCTACTGCCTTCAAGAGTGATCCTACAGACAGACAAGCAGACAGTGCCCAAGGAACAATACTTCCAAGTGCTATATGATTTCCTTTCAATCTACATTAATAAATATTCTTCTAGAATGTTAGTTTCTTATAAAACTTCAGAAGAGAACATGTTCCAAAAATATTATTTCCCCTGCAGCTCTTTCTCTGTGATTTTATTCAGTAAGTTATATAAATTTCAAAACATTTCATGGCACCCTTTCACCCCAAACAGCTCTGCTTTTATTTACTTTATTTATGATTCAGCATAAGCATTTACTTTGCACAAATAGTTCTACACCTGAAAATAAAAGTAAAACAATTCTTCTAGAGAAATAGAGTATCTTTCAAAGTATGGCAAGTATGATACAACATAAGAATATTTCCTGTCTTTTAAAAAATGGTTAGTCTCCATCTAGACAGAATGCTTGCCTTAGACATAAACTACATGACTGTTTGGTCACTAGCCTGAACAAACTCATGACACCACCATTAAATCTGACACCCAGTCAGCTAAGAGATGGTAGGAGACAGACTCAAGCAAGAGAAATACAGAAAACTGTACCTTCCATGAGGGCCAAAAAGACAAAACCACCTCTGAAGTTTTCATACAAACTCTGTTGACCAAATAGCTTTAGACAGATGTGGTACCCACTCTACAGTAACCATGGATTTCATTGATTAGCAAGTTGTGAAATCAATTTAATGAGCTGGAATCAGCATTAATTTAATATAATAGAAAATATCATCTATTGTAACAATGAGTATTCTTTTGTGACACTGGTTTTAATGTTAAAACACACACATATATACATATTTATATACTGGATCTCAATGGTAATATGTTTATTAAGAGTTTGAAACATATTGACTCTGTAGCATATAAATAAATATTAATTTTCTATCCTGAAAATTTCAGTTCCAAAGAGACTAACGTATAATTAAATTCTTACTTAAGAATATATATATACATTTGTCTATATCCATTTGGTTAGTCCTGATGAGTCTTAATATAATCAAAATAGGATTAGAGCCCATGTATTCTGATTCTCAAGTGTGATTAGCTGCTGATAATATTGAGCATTATGCTAAACCAGAGACTATTCTAGACTTTTTACATAAATTATCGTATTTATCTCTCAATATATCTATAAGGTATATTAATTTCTCCTAACTTAACACAGGAGGAAATGCTACTCAGGGAGGTACAGCAACTTGCCTAGGGTCTCACAGATAGGAAGCAGCAAGGATGGGATAAATCCCACAGTTTTTGGCTACAGAGCTCAACTAAATTACTCTCTAAGCAGCAGGATCAGAAAATATTTGTTTAAAATGAATGTTTCTGGGATTAGCTCCTTGGAAATCACATTTAGGAAGTCTCAGATGACATTACCCCATGCAGTGAACAGCGATGTTAGAAAAATGCCAAAGTGTGCATATCACCAGCTGAAAGGATTTCAAGCGTCAGAATGAAAATGTTTAGAAAGTGAGTATACTTCTCAGGGCAGGAAAAGTTCTTGGAGTATTCCCAGGTTGCACACTAAATTGCAAAACTAAAAAAGGTATGTCCAAGGCAGATTCCTTAGCAGCTCAGGACTTGCATGTTTTTAAATTTTCATCATTCTAGTTGTTCAAATGTCATGCTAGAAGAATTAAGAGAACTTTACTCAGAATTCTAGTCTGACTAATGTCAGGGTGGTGATGTGGACTATTATTTTAAAGGGAATCCAAGGAGTTATAGAATAGTAAATTTTGCCATCCACCACCCTCCCCTCCAAATCAGATGCACCTGCACAGATAACTAAGCAGAGATATATTTCAAATATCTAATATACCATACTTACAAATTCAAAGTACAAAAACTTGTTCTGTACACAAAAGTGTAAGTGAAATTATATTCTACATTGTGGGGAGTCTGTTCGTTCTGAGAGAATTTCTAGGTAATTCTATCAGGAAATAACAAATGTGGTGACAACAGGAAAAGAGCATTTTCTTTTCCTATTTTCTTACAATGAAAAGTCACATTAAAGCCATATTAAATGGTATAAAGAGTAGTTCAAATTCTGTCAGGAAAACATAATATAAAACTTCTCCTGATTTCTGATTGTCAAGTTTCCATAAATATTGGTGTGCATCACTTTTATGCCAACATTATGATTCCCTTCCAAAGGATATGCCATGAAATACCTATCAGCTTAATTTTATATTATAAAATTGATAGTTAAATTACCATTCCAATACATTTTCTGAGGATGCTCCAGATACTGAAGTCATTTCTGGAAAACATAGGGGAGGGCAAGCTTGTTCTGAAAAAAGAGAAGAAAAATAAAGATTTAATTTCAATGCCATTGACATTGGGAAGGAAAAGCTATTGTCGTTAATTGAGAGCCACAGGCATGTACGTATAGAGATACCTTAAAAATGTGCATCATATATGAATGAGCAACAGGTACACGAAAAGATGCTTAATATCCCTAGTCATCAGGGAAATGCAAGTTAAAATGAGATATCACCTCATGCCTATTAGAACGGCCATCATAAAAAAGACAAGAGAAAACAAATGCTGGCATGGATGTGGGGAAAGGGAATCCTTGTGAACTGTTGGTGGGATTATAAATTGGTACAGTCACTATGGAAAACAGTATGGAGGTTCCTCAAAAAATTAAAAATAGAACTACGATAGCACTTCCACTTCTGGGAATATACCTAAAGGAAATGAAAACACTAACTTGAAAAGATATTTGCACCCCCATGTTCACAGCAACATCATTTACAATAGCCAAGACATAGAAACAATCTGTGTCCATTGATGGATGAATGGATAAAGAAGTTGTGGTATAACAGGCAACACCACAGAAATACAAAGGATCGTAAAAGATTACTACAAACAATTATATGACAACAAATTGGACAGCCTAGAAGAAATGGGTAAATTCCTAGAAACATACAATCTTCCAAGACTGAATCAGAAAGAAATAGAAAATCTGAAAACACTGATTACTGGTAATGAAATTGAATCACTAATGAAAAACTCCCAACAACAAAAGTCCAGGACTAGACAGCTTCACAGGTGAATTGTACCAAACATTTAAAGAAGAGTTAATACCTATCCTTCTCAAACTATTCCAAAAAATTGAACAGGAAGAAATGCTTCCAAATTCATTCTATGAGGCCAGCATTACCCTGATACCAAAATTAGACAAAGGCATTAAAAAAAAGATCACAGGCCAATATCACTGATAAACACAGATGTAAATATCCTCAACAAAAATACTAGCAAACAAAATTCAACAAGATATTAAAAGGATCACACACCATGATCAAGTGAGATTTATCCCAGGGATGCAAGGATGGTTCAATACCTGCAAATCAATGTGATACACCACATTAACACAATGAAAAATAAAAATCATATGATCATCTCAATAGATGCAGAAAAAAGCATTTGACAAAATTCAACACTCATTAATGATAAAAACTCTAAACAAAGTGGGTATAGAAGGAAGACACCTCAACATAATAAAGGCCATATATGACAAACCGACAGCTAACATCATGCTTAACGGTGAAAAGCTGACAGCATTTCCTCTAAGATCAGGAACAATGCAGGGATGCCCACTCTTGTCACTTTTATTCAACATAGTATTGAAAGTCCTAGTCACAGCAATTAGATAAGAAAAAGAAATAAAAGGCATCCAAATTGGAATGGAAGAAGTAAAACTGTCATTATTTGCAGATGACATGATACTCTATATAGAAAACCTAAAGACTTCACCAAAAAAATATTAGGACTAATAAATGAATTCAGTAAAGTTGCAGAATACAAAATCTATATACAGAAATCTGTTATATATCTAATAACAAACAATCAGAGAAATTTAAAAAACAATCCCCTTTAAAATTGCATCAAAAAGAATAAAATAGCTAGAAATAAATTTAACCAAGGAAATGAAAAACTTGTACTCTGAAAACTATAAGACACTGATGAAAGAAATTGAAGATGATGCAAATAAATGGAAAGATATACCATGCTCATGGATCAGAAGAGTTAATATTGTTAAAATGTCCATACTAACAGATTCAATGCAATCCCTATCAAAATATCAATGGCATTTTTCACAGAACTAGAGCAAATAATCCTAAAATTTGTATGGAACCACAAAGACCTCAAATAGCCAAAGCAATCTTGAAAAAGAAGAACAAAGCTGGAAGTATCATGCTCCCTGATTTCAGACTACACCACAAAGCATTAGTAATCAAAACTGTATGGTACTGGCACACAAACAGACACATAGATCAATGGAATAGAATAGACAGCCCAGAAATAAACCCATGCTTATGTGGGCAATTAATCTATAACAAAGGAGGCAAGAATATACAGTGGGGAAAAGACAGTTTCTTTAACAAATGGTATTGGGAAAACTGGACAGCTATATGCAATAGAATGAAACTGGACCACTTTCTTACACTATACACAAAAATAAACTCAAAATGGATTAAAGACTTATATGTAAGACCTGAAACCACAAAACTTCTGGAAGAAAACATAGACAGTAAGCTCTTTGACATTGGTCTTAGCAATATTTTTTTGGATCTATCTCCTTAGGCAGAGGCAACAAAAGCAAAAATAAACAAATGAGAGTACATCAAACTAAAACGCTTTTGCACAGTGAAGAAAACCATCAACAAACTGAAAAGGCATCTCCTACTGAATGCGAGAAGATATTTGAAAATGATATATCGAATAAGGGGTCAATATCCAAAATATATAAAGAACTCATACATCTCAATATCAAAGAAACAACCAATCCAAGTAAAAAATGGGCAGAGGACCTAAAGAGACATTTTTCCAAAGAAGACATACAGATGGCCAACAGACATATGAAAAGATGCTCAACATCACTAATTATCAGGGAAATGCAAATAAAACAAAAATGAGATATCATCTCACACCCGTCAGAATGGCTATTATCACAAAAACAACAAATAACGAGCATTTGCAAGGATGTGGAGAAAAGGGAACCCTCACAGACTGTTGTGTAAATTGGTGCAGCCACTAAGTATGGAATGTAAATTGTTACAGCCACTATGCAAAGCAGTAAAATTTTTAATCAAAAATTAAAAATAGAACTACCATACAATCCAGCAATTCCATTTCTGGCTATTTACCCAAAGAAAATGAAAACACTAATTTAAAAAGATATATGCACCCCTATATTCATTGAGGCATTATTTATAATAGCCAAGATATGGAAGCAACCTAAGTGTCCAGTGACAGATGAATGGATAAAGAGAATGTGATATATATACAGATGTGTGTATGTACATATATGTATATCTATCTATCTATCTATATATAAATATAGAGATGTGTGTGTGTATACACACACACACATGTACAAACAATGCAATATTTTTTGTTAGTGCTATGGAGTCAATTCCGATTCCTAGTGACCCTGTGTAGGCAGAGCAAAACCCTGCCCAGTCTTTTTGTGCCATCTCTCACCTTCTGGCACTGTATCAGACAATGCTTCGCTGCTATTTATAGAGTTTCCATGGTCAATTTTTTTGTAGGTGGGTGGCCGGGTCCTTCTTCCTAGTCTGTCTTCGTCTGGAAGCTCCACTGAAACCTGTCCACTATGGGTGACCCTGCTGGTATTTGAAATACTGGTGGCATAGCTTTCAGCATCAAAACAATACACAGCTGCCACAGTATGACAAGCAACAGACAGGTGGTGTATTTTCCTTAGTGGGAAACAAACCTGAGCCGTGGTGGTGAGAGTGCCCAATCTTAACCACTAGACCACCAGGGCTGGCTACAATGGAATATTACTTAGCCATTACAAAAAAAATCTTGCCATTGGTGACAACATGGATGGACCCGGGGGTATTATGCTAAGTGAAATAAGTCAGATAGAGAAAGACAAATACCATATGATTTCACTTATATGTGGAATCTAAAAAACAAAACAAATGAACAAACAAAACAAAACAGAAACAAACTCATAGATACAAAGAACAAACTGATGGTCACCAGAAGGGAGACGGGTGGACGGATGGGTGAAATAGGTGAAGGGGATTAAGAAGTACAAACTTCCAGTTATAAAATAAGTAAGTCATAGGGATATAATGTACAGCATAGGGAATACAGTTAATAGCACTGTAATAACTTTGTATTACAGATGGTTACTAGACTTGTGAGGATCATTCATCATGTATATGTCAAATCACTTCGTTGTACACTTGAGACTAATATAATATTGCATATCAATTATACTTCAATAAAAAGAGTTGTGGTATACATATACAATGGAATATAACTCAGCCATAAAAACCAAGGAAATTCTATCATTTGCAACAACATGGATGGACCTTGAAGGCATTATGCTAAGTGAAATAAGTCAAGCAGAGAAAGACAATACCATATAACCTCACTTATATGAGGAATATAATAATAAAAAAAAAAAAACCAAAACACAAAACCATAAAAAAGAGATCAGACTTGTGGTTACCAGAGGCAAGGGACGGGGGAGGGGGAATTGGAGGAAGGTAGACAAAAGGCACAAACTTCCAGTTATAAGATCAATTAAGTACTAGGGATGTAATGTACAACATGATGACTATAGTTAACACTGCTGTATGATATACATGAAAACTGCTAAGAGAGTAGATCCTAAGAGTTCTCATGACAAGGAGAAAATTTTTTTTCTTTTCTTTTTATTGTGCCTATATGAGACGATGGATGTTAGCTAAACCTATTGTGGTAATCATTTCACAATATATGTAAATCAAACCATCATGCTGTACACCTTAAACTTAGTGATATATGTCAACTATTTCTCAATAAAGCTGGAAAAAAATGTTCATTGTCATAAATACGGTAAAACAGGGTCAATCTGGGGTTGTATCCTTGTTCACTGCTATTTTGGCCCCTGAAAAGTTTCACAGTGGATCAACTGGCCCTATGTCTTTGGTACTATTCTGATCCAAATTCTCCTACTTCTCCTCTGTTGGTGTCCAGCTGTTTGGACCACCTGAGACGTACACTGCTCCTTCACTTGCTGGCACATCAGACCCTGTTGTTTGGTTCATGACACACCTACCATATTCTGATATTTAATAAACTATTTTACTCTAGCTGTTAAATAATATAAACAAAAATGTCATGACAGAGCTTAGCTTAAGGTTTTTAAGAAATCAAATGGGAAAATGCAAACAAATTATAAAAGCCAAAGTAAAATTTAGGTTCTGCATCATACATTAGTACTTTCCTAAAGATACGGACAGTGAACAAAATTTAGCAACT